CCTTCCTCCCAAGAAGATAATATTATTTGTCAAGCCATAGATAAGTCTTTCATACTGCACATACTCATCATAAATACACTACTTCTGATGGTGTGGGCTAGATATGACTGTCCCCAAGACAATGATTCTTTCCTCCTCAAGAAAACCAGTACAGTAAATAACTTTTCTTCCCTTCAAGACAATCACAGTGCTTGAGGCTGCTGCAACACAAAAACAAAATCTCCTCACAAATGTCTCCAAACAGTCAAGCTGAAAATCTAAGCCAAAGTTTCATTTAACAGCCTGTCAGTTTTTGATGTGAAGCTAATGAATGCAGTGGCAAACAAATCCATCAAACCTAACATCAAAACAACTGCACTTCATCCCACCAAACGGAAAAATGAAATACAACCTGCAGGCCAGCTCTTTGATCCAGCCTAGCCAGGAAGTGAACCTTTGAGTACCACCACAGCTGCTGCCCAGAAGTGATCACAGACTCCATTTCACCACAGAAAGAAAGAATGCTCCAGAAATGGAAAACATTCATCTCAAATATGCACCAATATCTTATTTCAATTGCTATGCTGATGCATATTTTTAAATCTCTACCAGAAAAAAATACAGCACTTCACTCTGGATTACTCTGATGTTCAAAGCTATAAAGATGCCTAAAATATATAACCGGATGGTATATTCCACTCACACTACAGCTTTGCAAATGGAGGTTTATTAAAGCCCCTCTGCTCTTTATGAAAGCTCCTTGAAGACAAAGAAAACATATCTTTCCTCTTTGTACTAAACATGCAGCACAATTCCTGTTGCAGAGGAAGAAGTCACCAAGCACTCTCCAAAGCCAAACTTGCCTAAGCCATGAGCATGTGGCTACCTACACCACCCCTCTCAATTTTTTTCAGTGAAAACCTTGCCTCTGATTAATAATGAAGAAAAACTACATACCACCTTCTTGCGTAGGTGGGTACTTCTGTTCTGGAGCATCATGCAGGATTTGGATATGCTACACTTTGCAGGTAAAGGCTAAAGAGAGCTGAATGATCCTCACAGAGAAAAGAAGTTAAAAGAGGAAGAAGAATACTAAGGGTCTGGGGCGGAGATTTTTAGAAACAGGGATAGGCAAATTAAATTGCTATCAAGGTTATGGGGTCATATTCCCTCACTCCCAACTTTGCTTCTTTTCCCCCAGATGTTCTACAAAATCTATGCACAGAAAAAGCTTTATGTGAGATATTAGGTGGTTTCAGAAGATACAAAAAAGGGCAATCTGGATCAAGTGCTAAAAACAGGGGATATACCCACAGGTAATGGAATATGCACAATATAATAATGATAATAACAATGCTTTGATTATTTATTATAATAATGTTATGATTACCATTATCATTTAGTTGAGCATACCAAACCTCCAAGAATTTCCTGAAATTTGGAAGATGTATATTTGGGCTTAGTACAGTCAGTGTTAGCCATATCTTAAACCCAAGGACAGTTTCATGAACAAACACCACATGCCAGTAGGTCAGCAATACATTCATATGAAACCCACAGGGACACCACCAGAGGTCAAGCAGCCAATGAAGAAGGAAACAGTCATCGATCCCTTGCCAGTGACACCTCCATGCTCACTTCTGTGTGCTCGTCCAACAGGTTATCCTCTAAGTGATGAATTCATAGGAACATACATGGTGCCTGACATACAGCAGACAGGAATTATCTAAATATTCAGAGCTTCATCACCATTTACATTAGCCACTTGAAGGGGCTGAAAAGGTCCCCACTGACAAAAGGCTAATGGCTTCTGAACACAGATTGCCAGTATTGTGAATATATCTCCTGGTGCTATCTTCTCAAAACCTAGTGTTTTTTTAATTTCAAAAAAGTCTTTTGTAACGGCTCTTTTCTAAGTCGTCATATTAGAACTGGTTTGCAATATATGAAAACACAACCAGTAGAGACCCCACACTCTGCACCACATTAATTAATTAATGCTGTCCCACTAGAGACACTGTTTCAGAAGCTTTTACATACGCAAATCAACCCAGTGGGACATGTAAAGGAAACGTCATTCCTCCCCAGTGCTTTGACTTTGAAAAATAGTGTTATCATTTTTTCAATTATTCTCTCCCCCCAAAAAGCATAACTCATCATCACTTACAAATAACAACTATTCTTTTAACAGTTATCTTTTAGAATAAACTGAAGAAGGCAAAAAATTAAACAAATTGAACTAAACTAAGAAATTTGGGTATCCTCAAAGCTAAAAGTCTTCTATTTGCAATTCATAATTAATCCACTATACATCTGAACCCAGCAAAACACAAAAACTGATGGCCCAATATACAAATTTTTCTAAGATTAAAAACTACACGTGCACACACACACAATATGGTATTCCTATGGTCTTGAAGATCAATAAAAATGTGTGAAATAAATGGTAAGACACCAAAATCTGCAAGAAAATGCCACCACGGCACACTGCAATGTAAGAAAACTTATTAACTGAGAACAGCCAAAAAAAAAACATTAAAACTGAGAAATAATTTAAGAAAGCATGTTTTAGTGAAACATTCAAAATTATAATTACTACAATCAAGTTTCCTGTTTTTATTCAGAATAACTAAAATTAGTTATGTGACTCAAAGTAGATTCTTACTCTATACCACCATGTCAATTACCAATTAGAACTCTGTATGGTAGATAAAACACTTCCCCCACTCCATCCCTTCCCCTAAGAGCAAAGAATATCCACACCCTCATCCCTGCAATCCATGAATATGCCATCTTACATGACTAATGGGATTTTTTGATTACTTGTTCTAAAGGGTAGGAGACCCCATGGAAGGACCTGAAGAAGCCTTTAGGAGAAAGACCTGGGCTGGCAGGTAGCAAGGAAATGGGCACTCAGTCATACATCTGCAAGGAACTGAATCCAGCCAACAACTGACTGAGCAAGGAAATGGATTTTTCACCAGAGTCTCCAGTGAGCCCTGTAAACACTTTGAGTTTTGCTTGGTGAGACCAGCATCAGATCTATAATGTACAGAACTATGAGACAGTAAATAGATGTTGTTTTAAACCACTAATTTTCTAGCCATTTGCTCCAGCATCGATGAGGAACTAATATTCTCAGAGCAGCACCACCTCACCAAAAGTAAGGGAAGAGTGTAGACAACACCTAAAAACATCTCAAACACATACAGTTATAATCATTTTAAACTAACTTGCCAAAACTGCAATATAGCCATTGAACACATGGTACCTAGTAAAATACCCAGAACCATGACAGTTATATCCCTTGACTAAACTGAATGATATCAATGCAGCACAAGTGAATATACACATACCTTCGGTTTTCCCCTTCACAACAAATCTATTAGTCAGAGGGAAATTTCTAAATAATATAGGAAGAAACAAAAAGAATGCATGACTTCCCTGATGCTACATGGCTAGCTGGAAGGAGAAAAGTGGGGCCAGATCCCTGCCTTGGCCACAACAGAGTACTAGTTCTGAATAATTCCACAATTCTAGGTTGTCAGCTAAGATTCCATATCTCTTATCTGGTCACCCTCTACGTCCACACAAAAATGTGGAAACACACCCAGGACATTCCAGCCTTGGGGAGAAGCTGGTTTGGCCAGTACCATGAACTAGACATGAAACCTGGAGTAAACAAGCACCAACTAGTTTTTCTGGTGACTTAACACTGTGCTAGCTGACTTCTTATGTTAATGACTGAAGGTGGAAAACACAAAGTAACACACCTGTTACAGCTCGGCGCTGTGACACTGCTGCAGAGCAGACGCAAGCATTGAGGGTGTGTAAAAGCCCCGCTATAGCCAGCTGAGAGACAGAATTCTCTATTTCTTTATTAGGTTTATTGTAATATGAAGAATGTGGAATGGGAAGAAATCATTCAGTTCTGTTCCTTTCTAAATTACCCCTCATAAACAGAAATTCCTCGGAACAGAAAAAATCTTCTAATAGCAGGAGCTTTCCTTTGTGTCATGAATTCATTCAAATGCTTCCTGGTATGCCAAAGAGCTATACTTTTATTTAATATATTATGTAATTTTCTAAATACACATGTAAGTTAAACCTAAAGTTGTCTCCCCAAATATGTCTATCCAAGCTTACTCAATGGTTCCACATAAAAGCTTTATCAACACAGAATGGAAAATACTCATCTGTACTATGCAGTAGCCAGAAAAAGGCCACATAAATTATATGTGTCACTTTCCACTAAGTCTATGTTAATTTTACATATTCTGTAAAACACAGTTTCATTTAGGAGCTGCCCTCTGTCAACCTGCACCTTTGCCTTGAAAGTCATAGTAAAGGAAGCAAACTAATAGAAGCCACCACCTGAAGATGCCCTCTATTTGACTCTACAGGGGGAAATTGATTAAATTTAATAGAACGTGTTGCTTGTGAATGAAAATACACAGTATGTGAACTAAATTAATATACTGGCCAGGATATGCAATGTTACCATGAAGAAATAGTTCTTGCTAAATTATGTTCTACATTATTTCTTTCAAGAAATTCATTTTTGCACTAAGTGAAAACTTAATCATTTCTTCTTGCCATCCTACCTCAACTTTTTATTGTTTCCATTTTAACAGACATTTTTCTCTGTAAACAGTTGCTTCCTAAGTCATGGGCTGAACTCTAACATGGAGAGAGCCAAGTCTACCTAACATGGAGCCACAGGGAATCACTTGAAAATCTCTCAAAAAATCTACTAGTGGCCATAAGAAAGAAAGCAAACATCAGATGCATAAAATTACCTCTCAAGGTAAACTGTTCCTCATTAATCTCAAAACAGAAAAATGTAGCTACAAATGGTAATACAGGAAAATAAATATATCTAGTCTGAGACAAATTACTATGGTGAGAGGCATACAATATCAAGGAGGAAGAAAATCAATTCTGCATATGATTTTAGCTTTTCCACTATAAGAAACAGAATATACGTTTAATTTATGCTTTATTTTTGAGGCAAAACTTACCAATTTAGCAACTTTCCCATAGTCAATCCATCTAACTGTAGCAAAATTCGTAGATTCTGCACAGTTGAAACCATGATTAAAACCAGCATGGTAGCCATATGGGAAAGTGATCATAAATTCTCCAGGCTCCTGGGTGATCTGCAGGATAGAAACATATAATATTTTCCAATTATAAGACTTCCCAAATTGAAAATACAACTAAAATATCTTTCTTATAATAATATAAAGGAAAAAAATGCCATGATATCAGAGGTACACCAGTATAACAGATGTCCCCCCAGATCCTTTGCTTAATCCTTTAATAGTTTTTCAGGAAACTGACTTCTCCAAACAGGGTGTGATCTTCTGGCAATGTAATTTAATCATCTGATCCATAATCAGAGATACTATGTTTTATTTGAAAATGTCCTTAAGTTATTAAAATATTTTATTCATGTTTTTAATCAATGAAAAATATTTTAATACTTTAAAATTTTTGCATTACTAGAGTTACAATGCAAGACTTATTATAACTGACATTACTGAAAGTAGAGGTACAAAAACTTTGATAATGCATGCTGAACAGGCTTTATTGTGAATTCTTATTGCTAAAGAGTAGATGATATTCAACAAATTTTTCTTTAATAATACTTAGAAAACATTCAAGTAACTGTATTCCATTCAATAATATAATTTCTAACAAAGAATTATGCTAATGTGTATGTGTACATATGTACATGTGAATGAGTACATCTTTAAATATAATTAAAACTTGGATAAATCAGTCAGAAGCCTACAAACATGTATTTATTCCATTCCTGTTTTTTTGGTTAAAGACATGATTTTTTTATAAACACCAAAGTACACAAAGTATACCAAGACCTTTAGAAAAATAGTGAAGCAAATTTCCATACTCTATGCCAGATTATCGAATTCATTACTCATTAATTAATTCTGCCACCATGAGAAACCTTGAGAAATGATTATGTGGGTACATACATGTGTGTAGACATACAGGAGACACATTCTATAAATACAGGTGTACACACTGCAACTCACTTGGCATATCAGGGATGCTGAAATGTGTGAGGAAGTATTTTCTTTCCCAACAATTCTGAAATTTATCTCATCATCCCCTCCCTGTGCGACAATGAGCAACAACTCAGCTGCCATCTGACAGACAGAGAACTGTTTCATCAGTGTTGAACACGGCTCTAGTTCCATCACTCTGAGCCACACAAGAACACAGCCTGATTCTCTTCTTTCCTGGTCTCACTTAATCTCATGAATTATAATTGTGCTTGGAAACTAAGTACTTCATTGTACTATGTGATAAAACAAAACTCACCCTGCTCAACTGTTTCTAGCCCCACACAGATGGGGGAAGAGGGCAGGAGTGCTGCCAGGGGAAAAGGACACTACCTCCCTGCTCCACTGAATCCCATCTACAATCCTGCTCTACTCTGCCTGGAAAATCCTGCTCTTGCCATGTTGAAAAAAAGCACCTGTTCCCACTGAATGGGACTCCAAATTTTATGCCCATGTATGATTTCTAGAAACTGGTCAGTCTCACTTAGCCAAAATATAAGGCTAATTTACTGCCTCTGTGTAATAAACTCATAAAAATGTACAGGGACAGAAAAGAACAAGGCCCTTTTGTAAGACTAAACATCATCACAATTACACCACAGTTACAAAATTACATCATGAAAGAAATTGGAAAAGAGAGTGCACATAATCTAAAAGCAGATGTTATTTGTTGGCTAAACGTAATTTCTCATATATATGTATGAATATGTGGAAATACATTGAAGGAAGGAAAAAAATATTACTCCAATTGTGACATGATTGCCCAAAGACAGGGGTGAATTGAGGTGAGGAGTATGTTACTATATAGCATACACTATGCAAAGCCTGTTAAGTAAATTACCCCCATTGTCAGATAAAGAGACTGAGGCTCAGAAATATTGTCTAATTTGCCCAAGTGACAGAGTCAGAAATGAACCTAGGAAGTTTAATTCTAAAGCCTGTCCCATGCTACCATTATCACCATCAGAGGATAAGTTCCTTGAGGAGCACAGAGTCATCATGCACCCTTCAGCAAGGTGCAAGGGGAAGTCGCAGCAGTATTTCAAATGAAAAACTGCAACTGCCAATCAGCACTCTAAAGCATTGGTGTTTCACCATCTGAGAATTAACACTCGTCCTACAGCTTCCCACAAAATGCCTCATCCTCAAAAGATCAAATGAGAGCCTAATGATCGACCAAGTAGGACCAGGGAAGCCACAGCCCAGAAAGGGGAGCAGAGCACCTGCCTCCTCCTACCCAAAGATCAGCGAAGAGCTACACATTCCACAAGCCTCCGTCTGGGAAAATGAGCCAATCCCATAGTCCTGCTACTTCACATAATCCCCTCTCCAAGGACCAGCTTGATTAACACCTACCACCAGCCCTGAACCCATGCAGTGTCTGTGTCTTGAGGAACTCTAGGCCACTCCTTCTCCTCTGCCTTTTAATATTCCAACTTACTGTAAGTGCCTAATCAAGCTTATGCCAATCACCTAAACACTCACTGATGATATGTCCGAGACTGAAAAGCCGGGTGCCCAAAGGTATCTGCAAATAAAAAGCTCCAGAGTGGCACTGGCCCCTCTGGTGAAGCCTGCAACAGGGCTGCAACTCATCAACAGCTCCTCCCCACACTCATGCACATCTCCCAACGTGCACATCTCGGAGGCATGCTTTTTGTCTTGGGTAAGGGTATGTGAGTAAAACCATGGTTAGAGCATCCTCAGCACAAGAGATAAGTATATCTTGTGTGTGACCACACAGGTGATTTGTGAGCAAGCAGAGACAATCTCAAGTTGGAGAATGATTCTGGGTCATAGTAAAAATTCAACTCTGAACAAAAACAGGGGGGTAGGAGGGGGATACTTGAAGGGCCTGTGATTAAAAGGTAGATTTAATCACAAGTGAAATGCTTCTAAGGTGGAAAACAGCAAGGATTACAGAAAGAAATTCAAATAAAAAAGATGGCATTTGTTAATGTTTCTGCAAGTGCTAAGTATTAAATCCTCCAACCAAGAGAGAGCTTTTATTTATCTGGTCAAAAGCTTTTTTCATTTCAGCTTCTTCACATTAAAGTGTTATGCTGTTTAATAATTCTGACCCAATTTATCTATCCATGGGCATAAGGTAGAGGAATCTAGCATGTACTGAGTCTTTCAGAACTTAATCTTCAGAATTACTCCAAAGAAGCATTGTCTAATTATTAAATCATCAGGCAATTTTATCCAGAATGAAATCTCAATTGTATGATGTTTAAATACGTTTAGAAGCAACATACTGGTGCTATATCACTGATTCTAACCAACCAAACTGCTAAAAATAATTGCTCTGAATTCTTTTCAAAAATAGATCACATGTACAAAAATTATGTTGCTCATATAAAAGACTCCAATGGAGAAATGTTACATCTTATTTTGTCAAATGTGCAGCATTTCATTTTCAGTAGTTATAAGTGAACTGTAATAGTAAGAAATCTCTAGTAAATGTGTCCTGAAATAAAATTTCAAATTAAAAGTTAGATAAATTGTTATTCTAAAACATGAACCTGAATTTTTCTCCCTATTATTTTTAGCAGTTATTTTTAGCAGTTTGGTTGGTTAGAATCAGTGATATAGCACCAGTATGTTGCTTCTAAACGTATTTAAACATCATACAACTGAGATTTCATTCTGGATAAAATTTAAAATTCCCACTTGAAATCAAAGATATTAGTTTGTGTTAAATTTGTCTTGAATACAAAAACTACACACACAAAATGAATGTTAAAAAAAGTAAAACCAATATACCTTGTCAAAGGGTATACCATACTTCTTCAATACTGAGGGAGATATGAGTGTCATCTTGTGGCGAAGAAATGCATCACAACCTTGAGAACTGCTAGGGAAAAAACCTAAATGGAAACAATAAATAAAAGAAATAATGTGTCAAGAAAGATAAAATTTCAGATAGGCTTTTTTTTTAAGCTTATGTGCTACTACTCTTTTAGAATGAGTTTTATGCAAAGACAGACCAACTCCACTATCAGAAACCCTGGTACTAAAAATTATGAGTCAGAATTCTTAACAATTATGGGATGCATATTTTTGTCACCGAACGTTGACTTTCTTTACAAAAAGATCTACCAAGAACTGTTTTCATAAAAGTTACTAAGCCTTACAAATTTCAATTTGTAACAAAATATGCTTCAATCCACCTAGTATCTGATAAACGGACAAAATACGAAAGAAGGTAGGAGAAGTGAATATGCATTTTAATAGAGGAATCTCTCATTTTAGACTCCTAAGTCATTATTCCAGATGTACTTGTCTGAATGCTAGGCATACAGTAGACACATTGCAATTACCCACCTTTCTTTGTTTCTTTCTCATCAATTTAAAGTGGTTACCTGCTACTAATTTCCTGAACCAACTTCCTGGCAGAAGCAGTCAAATACTTGGAAACATGCCCAACCAGCCTCTATGGGAGCAGAGTTTTGAGGAGGCCTTTAAATGAGGAAGGTTAACATGCAGCAACCTTTCAGTCAACACTGTATTGTGGACCAAAATATCATTGTTTTTCCCCATTTCTGCCTTCAATCCTGCAGTTATGTCTGAGACACACTCTCATTAACTCAGTTACACAACCTAGAGGAGAAAGAACATGCATGATGCCCAGCTCTTCACCCTCCTCACTTAGAGATAAAAACTACCGCACTGAAGAGATGGGAAAACAAGAAGAGAGAGGAGAAACATGGAAAAGACAGAGGACAATCCCAGAAAGAGAACCCAGAAGGAAAAGAGAACTCACCAGGAAATCACAGATAATGCATGTGAGCCAAGTGTGAGGAAGCACAAATGCTGTTTAACTCCTCCACTGCCAAATTGAAGAAAAACCCACTGGAAATGTTACTTTTATAACTCTGTGGCTCCCCACATGCAGATAACTCAAGACTGACCAATTTGATGAAAGAATTACCGGTGTTCATTACCATGAACCATTTTAACTTCATAGAATAGAAGTATTTCAAATAAGTATTTTTAAAGTAAATAAGCCTTTATTGATGCCACCATGGAGTATGTGAGGACACAGATCATCAGAAGGAAACAAATCAGCCAGCCTGGCAAGAGCCATTAGGGTACAAGGAACCATCTGCAAAGGCAGTACCTTCTGTTAAACATCTGTACCTGGATTTAAAATATATATATATATATAGCACATACTAAAGGAAACACCAGAAATACTATCATTCTCTACAATACCAATGGGAACAAAAGAAATAATTTTGTCCTATATGGTCATTTGATGCAATCCTGTTTGTGGTTAATATCCATAATATATAAATAAAAAATAAAACATTACACCAAATAAGCAACCCTATGAAAGAATGCGAACTTTAAGGTGTGGACAGAAAATACCACTAATATACTGGCCATATCTACATAATAAGATGTTCTGAGTCCTACACCACAGACAGTAAAGCACAGCAGTCAGTCCCAAACACACAACCCATGGGAACATTGTAAGAACACAATTCAAATGTATTTATCAAACCTTTCAAATCTCTAACTGTGTACAATATAAAATGAATTAAGTTGTAAATTAAAATCAATGAGGAAACAGGAGTCAATTTAATTTTCTTTTGATATGGATTTGCAATCAGGACCTGAACAATATGGTGACTGGTCATAAGTTAATTTAAATTGGAAAACCACTGAAGAAAGGTAATTTGCAGTATATTAAGAACTTTGAATTGGTTCATAATTTCTGTTTACAACAGAATTATATTTTACATTGCCCTAGAAAACAACTCATTAACAACACAAATTATGAACAAAGCTTATATCTTATAATGAATTTTACCTCGAAATACTTCCACAAGTACATGGTTCATACTCACCCTCAATGCACAGTCTATGAAAAATATTTCATTCAACATACAAGCAAGCCAGTATAACTTGAATACTCTTACATGCAAAACGATAATATTTTTAAAAACTCAGACCTATGCCAACCAAAGGAATGTTAGTATCTACCATGATAAGTGAATAAACAGCTTTAAACTCACTTTTATGTAAAACAACAAGAACAGCTCTGAGAGAAATATAACATTTAACTAAAAATTCAACTTAAGACTATCAGAGTTTATTGAAAGTCACCAAATACAGAAAACATAGTATTCAACTTTTTGCAAGTAAGTTCTTTAAAATATGCCTTTAGAATCACTTTTTCCTACTACAATATTTACTTTCTTGATATTCTTTTTTTTAAGTTCTGAATAATTTATTTGGAAGAACACCTCTCTAAAAATTATCATATTTTAATGTTATTACTATAGCATTCCAAAAGACTTTCTAATTAACCAGTTACACATTGGGAGAGTTCACTATTTCACAATCTTGAAGATCAGTAAGTTCCAACATGGACAAAGTTCTACACAGACTCTTCAATCATCTTATAGTGGAAATAGCAACTAGTATCCCACTGCCACACCTCATACATCCAATGATCACCAGTTAACATGCCAGGTGTAGAACACGCTGGCACATCTCTGCAGCATCTACTTTTGTCACAATGAATCACTTGATTTATTTTTACATAAAAACAAACATTAGAGGAGGAGACAAGATGGTGGCATGAGTAGGGCAGTGGAAATCTCCTCCCAAAACCATATATATATTTGAAAATACAACAAATACAACTATTCCTAAAAGAGAGACTAGAAGACACAGTACAACAGCCAGGCAACATCTACATCTGTGAGAACTCAGCGCCTCACGAAGAGGGTAAGATACAAGCCGCAGCCCGAAGGACCCGAGGTGCCCCCCACCCCAGCTCCCTGACCGGAGGAGAGGGAGCCCAGGACGGCTGAATACCCAGCTCTAGTCGTCCACACCAGGAGTGCAGACACACATTGTGTGGTGTGCTGGATATTAGTGAAAAGGAACAGTAAAACCTGTGAGCAGGTCCCTGCAACCAGCAACACTGGAATAAAAGTAAAGGCAAGCACTTTTTGAAAGCCTTAAAGGGACAGGAGCCTCACAGCTGGATGGAAGCATCCAGGGACACTCAGTCGAGCAGCTGGGAATCCCGGGGAACTCCGGACGACCTAATCCTCTGGGACACAGCACAGCTCTGAGGCCCCTCATGGCGACAAACATCCTCCCGTCCATTCCCCCTCTGGAACAGCCCTGCCACAGCAGGGGAGCAGCCTGAGAGCTGCCATGCCCACAGCAACCACCCAGAGCCTCCTCCACAGCCACCCGGGCCAGACTCAGAAGACCCACCAAGGCGTACAGACAGAGGAAGCCAGGACAGGACTCCAAGAGTCACCGATATCGCAGGACAGCACAACCGGAATGCCTGGCCCACCCTCCACAACCCCTGCAGGGTTCTGGGCTTCCCTGACAGCTGCCCCGCCAGCAGCAGCTCAAGAAATAAAACAGGAAACTGCTCCAAGGTCCTGCAAGGCGACCAGCAAGCAGGAAGGGAATATGTTCTCTCAGCTGACACACGTGCCAACTGGCCACGATTACCTCTATCACAATGAAGAGGCAGAAGAATTTGATCAAGACCAGAATCACACAGACATCCCCTGAGAGGGAACCTGGGGAGATAGATTTAAACAATCTTCCTGAGAAAGAATTCAAAATAAAGGTCATAACCATGCTGATGGACTTGCAGAGAAATATGCAAGAGCTAAAGGATCAAGTTAGGAGGGAGAATACAGAAATAAAACAATCTCTGGAAGGACTTAAGAGCAGACTGAATGAGGTGTAAGAGTCCATTAATAGAACAGAAATCAGAGAATAGGAATGCAGAGAAGCTGAGGCAGAGAGGAATGAAAGAGCATTAAGAGAACTGTGTAACCAATCCAAATGGAACAATACTTGCATTATAGAGGTACCAGAAGAAAAAGAGAGATAAAAAGGGATAGAAAGTGTATTGAAGAAATGATTGCGGAAAACTTCCCCAAACTGGGGGAGGAAATAGTCTCTCAGACCATAGAAGCCCACAGAACTCCCAAAAAAAGGGACACAAGGGGAATAACACAAAGACACATAATAATTACAATGGCAAAGGTCAAGGACAAGGACAGAGTATTAAAGGCAGCCAGAGAGAGAGGAAAAAGGTCACCTACAAAGGAAAACCAATCAGGCTATCATCAGACTTCTACACAGAAACCTTACAGGCCAGAAGAGGATGGCATGATATATTTAATGTAATGAAACAGAAGGGCCTTGAACCAAGAATACTGTATACAGCATGATTATCATTTAAATCTGAAGGAGGAATTAAACAATTCCCAGACAAGCAAAATTTGATGGAACTTACCTCCAACAAACCACCTCTACAGAGTATTTTAGAGGGACTGCTCTAGATGGGAGCACTCCTAAGGCTAAACAGATGTCACCAGAGAAAATAAAATCACAGCAAAGAAGGCAGACCAATCAAATACTAACTACAAGCAAAAAATATAAATCAACTACCCACAAAAGCAATCAAAGGAAACACAAAAGAGCACAGAATAAAACACGCAACATATAAAGAATGGAGAAGGGAGAGAAATAAAGAATCATCAGACTGTGTTTATAATAGCTTAGTAAGCAAGTTAAGTTAGAGAGTAAGATGGTAAAGAAGCTAACCTTGAACCTTTGGTAACCATGAATCTAAAGCCTGCAATGGCAATAAGTACATATCTCTCAATAATCACCCTAAATGTAAATGGACTGAATGCATCAATCAAAAGACACAGAGTAATAGAATGGATAAAAAAGCAAGACCCATCTATATGCCGCTTACAAGGGACTCACCTCAAACCCAAAGACACGCGCAGACTAAAAGTCAAGAGATGGAAAAAGATCTTTCATGCAAACAACGAGGAGAAAAAAGCAGGTGTGGCAGTACTAGTAT